TTTGATACTAACAATAACATTGGGTGAATAGATTGGGTGAACAAACTATGAAGCAGGCAATTATATGTGCTCATCCATCATTCTGCATATGTAAGCTCAGTAGTTTAATTGCTGATTCATACTCAATGGTGAATCGATAGAATTCATGTGTCGGAGATCTCGTGAGAACACCTTTTAATAATTATAGCCCTCAGGATCGCATTATCCTGATCCGGCCGTAATGTGTATTGAGGTATGCACTAATTGTGGGTGTAGGTATGAGGAGGGTCGGGACATGAGGAGAGGGCTAAGGATTCTATTTCTGCGAGGTGTATTTCAGCTAGTTCTACGATGAGGGGGGAGCCCATGGTGCCACCTTCGTCTTGAGAGTAAAAGGAGCCGTTGAATTCTAGGTAGGAGTTGTCGAGGCAAAAGTTGATGAGCGATCCTATGGTGGTGGTGGTGAGGTTGGAGGGGAGGAGAGTTGGTTTTTGTTCGTAGGATGTGATGACTGTTTTAAGAGCCAGGCACATGTCACAGGAGGTGTAGAGGCTCTTAACGTCTAGAGAGGAGTGATAGGAGTATGAGGGGTTGAGGGAGAAGTCGAATCGGTGCTTGAAGTCTGAGGAGTCTTTAAGGCGTAGGGAATTCTGAGCTAGGGGTTTGAGGACTGTGGCAAGGACTTTGTGGAGCGCTTGAAGGGGAGTGTTGTAAAAACTAACTACGGGACGGATGGGTGCGCCAGGTTTATGGATCTTAGGTTGTCCGTAGAGTTGAGGCCATCTAGGGTGAAGGTTCCGCATCTTGTTGAGTTGCTCTGTGGTGATCTTTTTTGTCATTGTGAAGTTTCTTGAGGACTTAGTGCAGTTTGGAGGTGACTGATTGTGTGGGGTCTTTGTTCAAAAGGGTGTAGCTACCTGAGGTCAAGTGTTCATTAACTTTATTTATGTATTGTTCGTGGGTTAACACCACAGTGGCGTTGCCCTTATCGGCTGGGAGAAATTTTAATTCAGATTCCTTAGATTTTAATGATTTGAGAGCAGTACGTTGTTAGGGAGTCAAATTGTCACGGGTCATGTGACATGTCACGTCGTTTGTCAAATTTGGATAATACAGGGGTAACCTGATAGGTAACGGAAGCTTCCATTCCTTCGCTGAACTGTTTGGTGTCGTTTTGAATGAGTGGAGCTAGTTCAGGTGTGGGATCTGAGGTGGGTGTCGGGACGAATTTAAGGCCGAGGGAGAGTACGTCGGTTTCAGCAGTGGAAAGAGTCTGTCCGGAGAGGTTGATGACTGTCTTGGCTTTAGTATCGTTCTTTGGGGTGGGTGTGGGCGATGTCTTGAGGAGAGGACCATGGAAAGTGGGAGCAGGTAGTGAGGGTGTCGTAGGGTGAGAGGAAGGGAGTATCGTATTCTGATAGGAGGGCAGCGAACTTCTTCTGGTGCGTGAGGAGGTGGCGTCTGTGGATGTATGAGGACTTTTTGGTGTTAAGGTGTGTGAGTTTTTGGAAGTACTGGGGGGTGATGATTGATTCTATCTGTCTGAGGTTGTGCTCGTATGTTCATATTTTGCTTTGTGCGTACTTGAGGCGGTAGTGGTTGAGCCTTTCGGTGATGAGAAGATTGGATGCGTGGTGGAGGACTTCAGTGGAGCGTTTGGTGGTGAGGGGATTGGTGAGTCGTATAGACCTTTTGGGATGAATGAGTGATCACGGCAGGCTTTCGGGAATGAAATATTAACCAATATCAAAAAGCACTACCAAGGATTGTATCGGGACTTCTATAAGAGTATAAACGGTATTTCTAGTCCGCGGTTTTATTCATAGAGGTTTTATGATGAACTAATTATTATCATATGACTGTGTTATAGGTTAGCGCACATCACTGCAAACGTGACTGTGCAGAGCCAATTCAGTGCCGTGTACAGTAGATGAATCCATAAATTTGGAACATAGGGACATCGAAGTATTTATTAGCTGTATTTGAGTGCTGGGAATCCTCAATTCGGTTTTCTAAGATGGATATTATAATATTATAGCTAAAAACTAGGCCTGCTTGACACAAATTCTCGCTCTCCAGCCGCTATTCATGGACAACAGAGGAGCAAGAGAGGTTTGGGGACCCCAACTAAGAACTATCCTGTACCGAAGTATAGGACCCCCTTCAGTTGTTCAGGTCCCCAAAGAAGGAAGAGCCCTCTCCTAACAAAAACTCAAGTCTAGACATACCAGCATTCCGAATTGATGACGAGATTGACATGACAGTCTCGATCGTCAACAAGAACGTGAAGAAACCAGGTTTCACGGATTTTTGATAGTCATAAATGCCTTCTAGCGTTCATATTACTGTCCGTTCATAATCATGACCGCTCATCTATTATCTAATGTCCGTCCAAATATGGTCTGATAAGGTAATGGCTAATCAACCTGTTGATACAATCAGTTTTTCCTATAATCCTGACTTTTTTCTTATGTTTTGCTACTGACTTCCAGCATTAGATGCAAACGAAGACCGGTATTCAATTATCAAAAATGTATCCACTTATATCCAAGCAAACATATACATCATACATGAACGCCTAAATTATAAAAAACTTAACTTAAAGGTTTTTGTCAAACTGCTATATTATTAGATTGTTACAAACGAACAGGAATTTCTCTTGTATAAACGGCAAACCCACCCATTACTCTCATAGTTTCCATTCTGTAATGAAAGCGTGGTCCCTAGGGAGTTGGTATGATGCAGGATAGACGCTCTTTACACACACGGCACTGCATTGGCTCTTCACAGTCACGTTTGCAGTGATGTGCACTAACAGGAGCGTCAACCAATCTGTAAGTAGCCCTAACACAGTCACATGATAATAATTGGTTCATCATAAAACCTCTATGAATAAAACTGCGGACTAGAAATACCGCTTATACTGCTTATACTATAGAAGTCCCGATACAATCTTTGGTAGTCCTTTTTGATGTTGGTTAATATACGTATTCGTTAATGTTAGCAAATATTTGGGAAAAGGGTTTTCGTCTTCTGAACTCGAGATCTTTCCTTCACAAGCCCGATAATAATTAAGCTGAGAACTATAGTGACGAGAGAGACTGGTGCCACTCGATAAGCCGGTTAAAGCGTATATTAGCATCTATGACATTCAAGTACATTTTAAAGCAATTTGCCCTTGAGAATGATAATTATAACCAGTTTAATCTTGTTCAGCGTACTCGAAAACATAGGGTTACAAGGTTTTCGCTTCGATTTTCATCCATAAAAAATCCTTATATTTTCAATTCTCTGCCGGCCAGCTGTGTTTAATAGTAAATTAGATGTCCCTTACACGCACCTAGCGTACACACCTTACACAACTTATATAGCACCCTATTGGCTCTGCACAGTCACGTGTGCAGTGACGTGGGCTAATCAGAGAGACGCACTCTAAACGTGATCTCTCCTGCGATAACCATAACAAATTTCCTTCATTACGTCCATTGGACGCGCACAGTCACGTGCGGGCAGTCACGTGCAGCGTGACTGCCAATCAGATTTTGTTATTATTTTGAGTTGTCCGACTATTTTGAATCTATTTTGATTTGAACAGAGGTCCTTATTTTACTTCCTACTTGTGGGGCCAATTATCAATTATCCACTACTACGAGCAGAAAAATTACTACCTTTTCATCCAGTGGCGTAACATTGCCTGTTGGCGCCCCCAAAAATTCGCCCCCCTAAGATAGTGCCCCCCTGCACAGTGGGGTCAGCAGGGACCTTCGTTACGCCACTGTTTTCATCCAAGGGTTACAACAAAATTCTCAACTTTTGTCATTTGTGTGGAATCCTGGATACAAATTCACTAAGCTCAGTTGGGAACTTTACTACTTGTCTACATCTTCGGTACTAGTAGCTTCTACGTTTATTCCTCAACCCTGACTCAAGGCCCAAGGGAAATCATCTGGGATGAGGACAAAAGCAGTGGCATAACGAAGGGCCCCGCTGTGCGGGGGGTGCCATCTTAGGGGGGCGCAAAATAGTCGTTTGAATGTGGGACAGTTTTGAAAAACTTAACTGAGTACTAGCAAAACTGCGCGTTTTGCTCTAGAAACACACTTTTTTAGAGATTTTACTAGCGTATCCTCTAAAATCACCTAATTTGTTCAATTTTAGGGAAGGGCGCCAAAAGGGGAGGGGGCGCATTTTCGGCGGGGGCGCCAACAGGCAACGTTACACCACTGGACAAAAGCATGGTCAAAAGTTTGATCAGAATTATTATCAAGATTTGCAGTCTCTAGATTCGACCACTAAGAATAAGTCTCTTTCAACCTCTTTTTCAAATTTCGTAACTTCTCCTATTTATTTTCTACATATAATATGCTATCATTTGTGCTTAATGATCTATATCTAATCTGTAATTGAATATTAATATTAAAAGCACTATCTAGTTATAGTGCTACAGAGAAGGTTTTTCGGTATGTACATAAGTAAAAAGAAATAGAGAAACTTATTGTTTCCTTAGATTCCTCCGAGTGCAACACACGATTACTGGAAATTTCCATAGATTCCTAGACATTGTCGTTATCAAGTCACATGACCTGATCCTAGACACTTTTTGGATTTCTGTCACCATATTAGTTTGCATTTCAAACTAAATGTATTGTAGTGTTTACAACTTCACAGTGCATTTAGTGAGATTCTCATCTAGCAGCTAGAGCTGTAGGTTATTCTGAACGGTACCAGGGGTACCCTGTAATGATATATACTTATCATGCGTTTGGGGCACAAAGTACTCCCCTCCTAGGCCAGGTCAACAGAGATTTTTCAGGCATTTCGCATAGAGAAATGGTCAAAATGGCCTGCGATATTTTGTGTGATTTGAAAATAAACATTAAAGAAAGGATTTTGTAGGTCCACGCATTGCCAACCTCTTAAAACCTGATTTATATGTTCAATTTTTAATTTGTATGTAAATTTGCATGTTTGACCGTTTGTGTTTTCTATACTGTATGAATTTTTGAAATTTGAAATGTTTTAGGGAGGTAACACTTGGAGAAAAATTCTTGTTGATGGTGGAGCCCTGACAAATTACAAGCATTATGGTCAGAGGATAATGTGTGATATTGATGTTTCCAACACCATAGTAAGGAAAGATAGTTTCATAGGTCTAAAAGTGGCAATCCATGAGCTGAGTAATAACTTTAATACTTTGGATTTATCAGATGATGATGACTGTATCTCTACTCAAACTGCGGTAATATTAATTAGATCATCGTTATTTTTTCCCGATCCATGACTCAAAGGTGCCGAAGGCACAAAAGAGTCAAGGACAAGGGTTAGCGATCGAGGTTTTTTTAATATGGTAGCTGTGCGAGCGTGCGACCACCGTACGGTACGTGCCTGCGAGCACTGTTATCGCCCACGTGACTACCTGCGCAAGGTTATTTTGCGTGATAATCTGAATTGTATAATTGTTGGCGCGCGGCGCTGAACCAACCAAGTACATTATTAATTTCATCATGTGCGTATCCCACTAGGCACTAATTGATAGCATATTATTATTATTTTGAGTTAGTATTACATTTCCTATTTTGCACAGATCCGTGTCAGGTTGCATAAACATAATACATAGAAGTATACACGATTTTCAAATTCAATATATAATTATATTAACTGGGCGGCGCTCGGCAGTCGGCATGTCACTTCGCCATATTTGCATGTTTATATAAACAGTAAAGACTGGGCCGTCCCCAGGTTGTATGGAATATGATATTTATACGCCATCACGGATCGGGAAATTGAGCGGCCATCCACAAAAGAAAAGCGGCCGCATTTCTTGTTAGAACCATTGTTTAGCATTTCTTTCCACATGATCAGTGCTTCTGATTCTGGTTTTAATCTGTTTCACTTTTCATCTGACAAAAATAACTTTTATCAGGTGGATTCTACAGCAGATTTAGTGGGCACATCTCTGCAGGTGGTGCAAATACCCTTGAGTTGTAGTACTGCACCGACGCCACAAATTGAAGAGGTAAACCAATAGCGACGATTCTAAGTTTTTATCGTTTATCATCATATCAGCACTCAGCAGGGAATATTTGATCGTTCTCTTCCTGTTTTATTTAAAATCTGCTGTCAAAAATCAGTCATGCCTTTCAACTTTCGTTATTCTATTTCAGTTAGTGGTCCCAGAAGGCGAGGGTGATTCTGAATCCGAAGAGGAAAAAGAAGATGAGAAAATAGAGGAGCAACCCCAAGAAGAACCTAAAGCTGAGAAAAAGAAAAAGAAAAGAAAGAAACGGTCAGTTTTATTTTAAGACTTACTCAGTTCTAAATGTAAAGAACTAGCACGAATATTCTTCATATTATCTAATACTACTAATGTCAATTGCTTGGATCATGGATGTGCCGTATTTATGTATCTGACATGCATAGGTGTGCATAATGTGTAACTTAATTAAACAAATATTTCGTATTATGATATTATGCTCAATACCAATCATTAATGTTTCGATAAGCTGCGCTGAATAGCCATAAGCAAAAGTTTTAAGTAATCAAGAAATATGTTATATTCATATGCAAAATACTTGTCGCAATTTAGGATGTTATATCTTCAACTTTTAAAGTGTGCAATCTCTTATCAATGAAAATATATTCTTCTTGTTTCCTGCTTTTCTGTTTAATGCAACATTTCAATGAATTGACCGCAGCACACAATATTTCAGCACCGCGTGATTTTCTCATAGCTTTTAAGCATCAATATTATCAGACTCAATTGTCATTGTGCCCGAGGCCATGATAAGGTCACAGGCGGCAATCGTTTTATATACAGCACTGTATTGCGGCCGCTCAGGTCACGTTGAAATGCATTTTAATCATGAAATTAGCAAGATAAAGACACCAGGATAGCTGTTTTAAAGCTAAGACAATAGTAAGCACATGCAGACGAGCTTCACACTCACTCACTCTCTCTCCCACAGTGCGATTGGGATATGTACTGTGAACTGTCGGTACGAGTCGGTGAGGCGGGTTGCCCGCAGGTTCAACTTCAAGGAGGTCGGCGAAAACGAGGACTGGGTGTTGTTTTGGACAGACTGCTCTGTTAGCATTGAGCGTGTCATGGACATGAAGCGTTATCAGGTGAGTGGGGCGCTGGGATTGTTCTAGAATTAATCTACTTTGTGGTATGATGTTTTAATGTTCGTGCGTTGCATTTTATTTTACGTATAATTTGTATTGGTAAACAGTATTAGTAATTGATACCAGAGTTATCACTATGACTACTTGACAACAAATCGTGCTGAAGGAAGTTATCACCCCTCAGAAAATCAACCATTTCCCGGGAATGAGCGAGATTTGCAGAAAGGATCTCTTAGCTCGAAACATGAATAGAATGCAGAAGCTCTTCCCAAAAGAGTACAATATTTGTCCCAGGTCTTGGTGCCTACCTGCTGAGTGAGTAGTTTTATTGTTGCTGCAGAAAAAAATATGATATATAACTAATAACACATGGCAACCGTATATTCGCTAAAAACTAATATGCTTTTAAAGACAGCGGTTCAAAACATCACGTTATTGGTCAGTAAAATTATATTCTTATTCATAATTGATAATTGGAAACACAATAATGAGCTCCTACTTGCTAATTTCAACCGCATCAAAATATATTTATAACTGAGGTTAGGGTTTTTTAAAAATGTATGCTCTAAACACGTTTTGATCACAACAAAGCAGATCATAATCCTAGCCGTTGTGGGTTGGTAACCACGCAGTTTCTTTTTTCGTCGTGATTTTGCACGTGCGGTCAGACATGCAAAACAAATATCTATATTGTAAAGGAGGCGTTCATAATATTATTACTACCTAAAGTCTAGTTATATCATTACTATTTAAAAAAACCGACCGCTCGCGCCAGTTTTATAAAACCTAAGCTTAATTAGCGAGGTTGGGGTATTATAGGCAGCGCCTCGAAATATGTTCTCTTGTGAGAGTTTTCGATCTCACTATTAATATTGGTCAAGTCAATCTATAAACTTAAATAATTAGCTGATTAGCTACCAGGAGTTCTTATACAGGGTGGGCCTCAAAAGTCTACCCGTCCTTATCTCTTAAAATTGTAACAGCTCGCTGAGATCTCACTAATTATTTAAAAAACAAAAAGTGGCATAACTTATGTTCTGATGAATATTTTTGCTTCTAAATTTCACAGAATGTTAATAACAAGTAGATAAACCTTTGTGGCAAGTTTTGTGTGATTGCGAGCTTCACTGAGCTTATTTGACCAATTCAGCCCCTGAGCGAGCTAGCTTGAATTTCTCACCCAGAAATGTTTACATTGGTTAACAGGAACCACCAAAAAAAATCCTGGGTAACAAAATAAAAAAACCAGCGATTTATTCACGTTTTACCAATTCTATTCACATGAATCCATCGCACATTCCATTCTCTCTATATTTTAACTGATAAGGACTATCACAGATGATCCTTCCTGCTTGTTTATATCGTTCTTCTCACATGGAATGTGCGATGTATCATGGTGAATAGAATTGGTAAAACATAAATAAATCGGTGGTTTTTTAATTTTTTTACCCAGGGTTTTTTTTGGTGGTTCCTATTAACCAATGTAAACATTTATGGGTGAGAAATTAAAGCTAGCACGCTCAGGAGCTAAAATTGTCAGACAAGCTCAGACTCAAACAAAACTTGGCACGAAGTTGTGTCTAATTATGATTGACATTCTCTAAAAATTTGAAGCAAAAATATTAATCAGAACGTAAGTTATGGCGCTTTTCCATTCTGAAATAAAATAATTAGTGAGATCTCAGCGAGCTGTTACAATTTTAAGAGATAAGGACGGGTAGACTTTTGAGGCCCACCCTGTAGTTTTAAAACTTTAAAACATCGATCTACCTGAGGTGGGAGGGAACACAGCCTTAAATAATATGAACACATCATCTTAATGCTTTAAAAGTGTGTGGTATTTGGGTATGCAGCTAAAACAACAACCCAATGTTGTATCATGCATTACCTTTAATATGGTATTTCCATATTAATTTAGGATAACAGATTTCTGTTACGTAACCATGGCAACAAATTTGTCGGTTATTCAAATGTCCGGGGTAACAAGTGTTACATTTACTGTTCTCTGATTTTAATTTCACTTGATTAACACTACAAATATCCGACCCTGACCGTACCTGCTAGCATATAAATTCATCCTGGGCCAGGATTGCTGGCTCAATGCCAGTTTTATATTCAGATGCAGTACTCCGATCCAATCCAATTTAACGATGCCGATCAAATTCAATATGTAATGTGTTTTATAATGTCCTTTATAATTCCTTTAAACATCTGTACAATTACTTCATCTGTACAATTACAATTTACAGGTCCCTATTAGGGCAGCGGCAACCGCCCTAATTCAATGTATTTTCAGTTACAGCGAGTTTATGACGTACCACAGATCGAAGAAGAACAAAACGTACATCATTAAACCCGACAACAGCTGTCAGGGAAAGGGAATCATGTTAACTAAAACTCCCAAGGTATGATTTTTATGGGTCTGGCAAAGGCTTTTTTGAGGGGCCGGAGACCATATTATGTGCATAATAATAGTATAGTATGATAAACTTGCTCTACATAGGAATTAGGGAATCATAATAAGATCAAAATGAATCCCACTCGTTAAGCAGTTAAGCCAATGAAATCCGTTCTAGACTAGTAAAACTAGGGGTTGCCATCCTGGCTATTACTAGGGTAGTGATAAGCTAGCTTCTCAGATTCTTTCTAGACTGGTAATGTTAGGGTTATTACCAGGTCGTATTATCATTACCATGGAAGGGGGATGGTTTCATGGTTTGTTTACTAATTAGGCTAGCTATGCATATAATTATAACCTTAATCGATTACCAGCCTGCTACTACCACCAAATGTGGTATTAGCAGGCTGTTGTCAGGATCGTAACCGTTTTTATTGCTAGTCTAAACGGGTTTAAATCTAACTAAGTTGTGGCAAGTTATTCCTTTTCATGCCAAAGTCCGTAAGGGTCTGCCCACACTACGCCATGTGGTGACGGGCCACATGGGTGGGTCAAAAAACCGGATTCACACAACGAGGCGTAGTGTGGGCAGACCCTACGGTCCCCAAAATTTCTGAAGTTTGAATATCTAGAATTAAGGTCAAATATCAGTAAGATGATAATATAACAATCAAAAATACCCCAAATATAATAAAGATAACAATATTATCTCCTTCACAGGTAGACATCAAGCACTGCGATAACTTCGTCGTTCAACAGTATCTATCTAAGGTGGGTTTGTAACAATCTTCTGTAATATACAATATACATGCCATATAAAACTTTTGTCAGTTAGATGAAACTAATTTCAACAGCTTGCATCACGTGTCATGACGTCACGTGTCATGACGTCACGTGATGTCTGGAGAAGAAGGGAGTGTTTAACGTCTGGCTCGTTTAAATCTGTGTCAAAGACAGAGCAAGGTGGCTCGACTGAGTTCTGTCGCCATGACAACGACTTGGGTTGAAGTTAGAGTGTTGAGTTACTAGTGTGTCCGAGAAAGGGAGGGTAGGGCAGCATGCTGCTTTGAGCGCTGATATTAATTTCAAGGCCAAGGATTGTCTCCTAATGTGGACTAGACATGGCTTATTAAGATTTGAGAATGTAAGCGATCTAACCGAATCCTCGGCGCGTTCAGGAGAATCAGCCCTGCCCTTGGTTTGAATCCGTGTAATTTTTTAAATGACCACCTCAATCTCGGTCTCATGAACAAATCCTGCACACTGTCGGTCACTGTACTCGCTTTCGACCACAGCGAATAAAATCATGATTATTCTTGAAAATTTCGAAGAGCATGGAATAATTGTGAAGTATTTGGCATGTTGTTACTCAGCAACATTTATTCGACTTGGAGCAAATTAAGAAACTAGTCTAGCGCGAGCAAATGATTTGACAACATGTTAGTTGGCTCTTGATGCCTGCTTGACAAGCTTGATGATCATGACGCAAAGTTCAGAATGTTCGACAGAAGTAATATTTATTTAAAATAATTTCATAAATACAAGTCATTATGTATATTGAGTGAATGCGTGTAATAGGATGAGAGCATTTTTGTTGAAGATGGAGAAATTAAGAAAGTAGTTACAAAGTTAAATAATTAGACAGTTTGTTACTTGGCCCGCCATGTTTGCTTGATAAGTTTAAAATAATAATGACGAATTATCCAAGTTTGACAGAAGTAACATTAAATACTTAAATATGTTTGGAGCAAGTTAAGAATCACGCAAGTTAAATAATTTAAAAACTTGTATATTTTATAATACCTTGTCAAGCCGGCTAGTAATTTTTACTTGAGAAGCTTAATTGTAAGTACAGAATGTCCTGAAGATTAGCCAGAAGTAAACTTGGAGCAAATTAAGAAACTAGCTTGAATAAATTCAATGAGTTGGCTCGCGAAGTTAAATTATAAGGACGGAATGATGGGAAAAATACTGAGCTGCAGTTGTCACTGCGCTTGGAACGGATCCGGAACAAGCCGATTGTGCTTCTTGAACCTCCACTCGTTGTTTTGATTGCCGTGTTTTCCGGATAAATAATGCTGCGACAGAACGATCACGTGTGATGATGTAACGGATCCTTCATAAAGATGATGTAATGTCAATGATTCGGACAGCTGTATATATAATATAACATAAGCTGCGTCTCATTTCGCTACGAATAGCTAAAATACTAAGCCATTATCATTAGATAAGAACTTTACAATCTAAAGTCAAACCTTCATTTACTATGCCTCACGAGTCACGATGAATACTAAATAACCTGGTAAACGGAGGTATTAGGTAAATAGAGTTGTGATTTACTTACATGAAAATAGTAGTAACTCGGAGGAAAGGAAATGTGCCAAGTCGCGGTATTAGTCGAAGGACCCGTAAATTTAGGGAATGTGAATACAAGTTTGACTGTTTACATAATGTTCACTTTAATTAATGGTCCAGAATGGTTTACTAAATTTCTATTTGATGTTTTATTTCCATAATATTCAATAGCTTGAAGTACCGTGAGAAATTGAAGTATCTTTGACATTTGCGATTGCCAATAAATTCCTCAAGTCTCCTCTGATCTTAGATTATCCAACAAGGGCAATTAGAAACAATAATGGTGGTAGCCAATAAATCTACAGCTTGTTAACTAAACGTTTGTGTTGCAAAATTTATAATTGATAAAACAATTTTTACAATAGTTACACTAGACACTCATATAACACAAAGTATTGATTGGGCTTCTCAAACAAAAGTGAACAACAAAGCTATTACGTTTTACTACCTAGATGCAGTTATTCTGTACTGAGTTGTCATGTGAACACTTCCCTGGTAGCTCTTGCTCATTTATAAATCAATAACCGGAAATCCGTGGATCACATCATCAATTAATCTGATCTCTGTGGGAGTAATATTAGAGCTGTTTTTAATGGTTGGACATCGTTCTAATGCTTCCATACTTTTCAGCCGTTCCTGATAGACAACCTAAAGTTTGATTTGAGAGTTTATGTTTTGGTTACGTCATGCGATCCTCTGAGGATTTACGTGTACAAGGATGGGCTGGTTCGCTTTGCTGTTACACCTTATCAAGACCCAACAAATAATAATGTGGTAAGTGGTTTTAGTCGAGATGGAATATTCTTAGCAAATTACAGTTTTAGAACACGTCTTTCTCCGTTATTAAATTAAACGCCAAAAAGGAGCTAGTGGAATGCTCCATCTTTTAATTTATTGCTTCTCAGTGCAAAAAAACTGCACAAAAAGCCTCCAAGTACAGCGTACACACACACTTTGTGCAGGATGAATTCTCACTAATGTTGGACACATTGCACTGCGAGAATAAATTGTGTACTGTGTGTGTAAGAGTCCTGATATACCGCTCTACTGCTCCAATGTCACGCACATCCTTGCAGCTTGTTTTTTGTGAAGCTGTTGTGCTCGAGGGAAAATTCAAACTTCCAGACAATCAAACATCCCCCAGCCGGGATAATATTATTTTCACGTGCAAAATTACTTCGCATAATGTTTTATAACTCACTTTCTAAAAAGTTTCCACGATTGATCAATACACACACACACCAAGAAACTTTTTGTCTTATTTTTAAAAGCTCGAATGTAGTAATTTTCATTATGCTCTGTTTACAAGGAATGGATTAGTATATATCACAGCATAACAAGCTGTGGTTTTCAGTACAGTAACAGTGAATGTAGGACTACTGGGCGAGGCGGCGTCTTTTAAATTGCATTAACAAATTGATTAAGAAATTATTAACTGAAGCGTATTGAGTTGGTTATTGCTTGTCACCCCTAACCGTATGATTACAGAGCTGAAAAATCAATTAAATGATAGTCCTAACTCCTAGAGACTGAACGGAATGATTTCTTTTTGAATTTTGTCTGAGATTTAGTAAGTTTTTATTAGATGTGGCAAGCAGGCCCGTGAGCAGGCAAGCAGAACAATCATCTGGTAATTACCAGCCAATTACCTGGCAATTACCATGTAATTAGAAGGTCATCAGAACACGATGCAGATATAACATGTAGTATAATAAAGGAATTTCAGGACGATGTTTTGATGCACTTGACGAACTACGCAATTACAAAACATTCCAGTGACTTTATTAGGGACGATGAAAAGGGCCACAAGAGGTAACAGCTACTTCTTTGTGATCTGGAAAATTTTATGTTGATAATAACAAGTTTATCTGATAAAAACACGCAAATTGAAATATAAATTAACCTTATATCAACATGCAGAACTGTGCAAAAACACATTTTAAATATTAGATTTAACAAAAAAACTTTGATAAAACTAAACTTAATAAATCAAACTTGAATGAAACAAACTTATTTAAATATAGACTTTAATGAAAATAAACTTTAAATTTAACAGCGAATCAAAGCATATTGATGTCATATTCTTATTTTCTTGCAATAAGTTAAGCTACAGCGATCAAATTATAATCATCGCAAAAATGTTCATGTTGGCTTTGGAGTATGTGTACTCAGGTGGCTTGAATTTTGGCGCATTGTGAGCTACAATATGTTCGAGCAACCGCCGTGCTCTTTACTGCTACTAACTTATCCGGGGATTCGCTTTTTAAATTTTGGTTTATTATAAGGTAGACATTTGAATGGTGTGAAGGAAATAAAAGGGGAAAAAATGGTTGGGATTATTTTGAATTAATATAAGAGTTGTCCATCTGAGTAATCTAAATTCGAGATTTAATTCAATTTCTTGGATTCTCGACGGAGTTTGTCTAATTATAATAAACTGGTGGGAAATTTTCATGTTTGGCGCGCGTGTCAGAGACGTACAGGAACGCGCGCAAACAAAATTGTAATCTTTTGGTGTCTTTAATTGTCTTTTGCCATACCATGCGCGTTGCTATGGTTACGAGATGACCTTTGATTTGGCGTTCTCACAATTTCTTTTCACCGTGATCAGTCAATATAATAAAGCATATAATGATTCCTCAAAATGGAGACATTTTCTCAATTTCAGATTTCGCCCAAAACAGCTTTAAACTGATCTATCATATAAGTTATCAGTTCTAATATAACAGGAAAGTGTTTTGAATCGGTGAAAAAGGGTGGCGAAGGTGAAATATGCCAAAAATTCATGAAAATTCTGAAAATTCTGAAAATTTCCAAAACATCGTTGGAAACCGGATTTCCAAGATAAGTAGAAACGTTAACTGTCCAAATAGATCAGGGAGGGCGTTTACAGCTGTTTGCGGACCTCAGGCGCATGAAGACACCGGAATGTGGCTTTCAAATGGGCATTTTCGGGTGTTTATTAAGATGGACAAATTAAAGTCAGATTGTTTGCTCAAATTGGTTGGGACATGCCTTAATTGTACTGGATGACTTGCACGTGTGATCCATCGCAGAAAACTGGAATTCCAACATCTGAAATAAAGTCATGACTCTGCATATGCTCCGTAAATAGTCTGTGTCCTTTCCTTGATCTAGTTCTGCGAAGAACGAAGTTACACAGCCATTGCATGCTAATTTAGGATACTGAAACGAAGATGACATCAAACATAAGATAATTAATAAACGCCAATCTAACTGAAATTTACTTACAGGAAGATAACGCATTTAAACAAATGGTTGGAAACAAACGGATACAACAGGGAAAAAATATGGGCAGATATCGAAGATGTTATCGTTAAGACACTGATCGTTTCGCATCCGACATTGAAGCACAATTACAGGACATGTTTTCCTAATCATAACCGTGGCAGTGCCTGTTTTGAGATTCTAGGGTTTGACATCATGCTGGACCGAAAACTAAAGCCGTGGTTACTTGAGGTAATGCTTCCAATATTTTGAATTTATTAATGTTTCATTATTGTAACATAGAGAGATAAGTCAACACAGAGAGGGCTGTTTAGAAGGTGTTTCTAGGGAATTAAAATCTTCCGGATTTGTTCGCCCAAGATCTCTTACAGCTAAACCATTATTCGTATCTTATTATATTGATGATCCTAAGTAGGAATGTAAACAGAGTACAGACCGTAGCTTCAGCTTAGGTTTTCAAACGGTATGGTTTATTCTTCCATTCGATCAGTTGTCACAAGCGAGAAAGGTTATTTTTATCATGTTTACGGTTTACTGCAACCAAGACTGACGAAAATAACAGACATTCTGATTTTATCTTCCTCATTGCGCCAATATCTAGAAAATAGATCGAAATCGACCATATTAACATGAGTTATGTCTCCTCTAATATGTATCTTGATAAGTGGTTAAACGCCCGAACCGGAAACGTTAAATCGCTCTTTTGTCTTTTTTGCCCGTTATCAGCTTATTTCCTTTCCGAAGCCAAGATACAAACTAAAGAGTTCAATATATGCTTGTAGTTGTCTATATCTCTGCTTAAGTGCGCTAGTTAGTTTCGTATCTTTTCAGGTAAACCACTCCCCCAGTTTCCATACAGACTCTCCTCTTGACAAAGAAATTAAAGAGGGATTCCTAGCGGACACCATAAAAATGCTCAACTGCAGCTATCTCGAGAGGTTTGCGATATTTTTCACAAATATTTCATGAAATAGTAGTTAGTCGAATGATAAACCAAAAATTCGCCTGCTAAATATAATTGCAAATCCTTTATTACTTTAAAAGGAAAAAGTATAGGGAAAAATCTACTCGACCACTGAAATAAAAAACAGTAAACCGGCCAACTCTTTTAACATCTGTCTATGAAATTTTCTTGTTTTCCTTCGTTTGCTTCTCAAAGGAGGACTTCTTATCATACATCTGCTCTCCGTTATTTTCCGCAGCTGATTCAACATTAACCGAATTGAATTTGTCCTAATTTATATCATTAGGAAGCAAATAAACAGGGTTGCAAGCTCCATGAGCAATAATTTATAATCTTATTAAGTTATTAGCTGGTAAATGACAATTTTCTGGTGAGAAGGTTTAATAAATTTCCCCAATTTCTCAATAATTTCCTAGAAATTTTATTAACTTGCCACACCATGTGTCCATTTTGTAGATCACAACCAAGTTAATTAGCAGAAATCGCTTAAACTTCATGAGAGATAGTCGATGATCTAACTATGTTGTAGATTAAACAGCTTGTAAAAAAGTTAATGAACACACGAGATTACAATAACAAGTGGTTGTTAAAGCCAGTGTAACCCCACAGAAAACGTTGTATTGAGGAGGACAGGCGGCGAGTGAAGGAGAGACTGTTTGCAAAGAGTGGTACCCGTCAACAACAGCACCAGGAGTCGCTGGAGACGGACAAAGCGTACTCGCTGGTCTTAGAACAAGCCGAGGCTAACAACTGTGGCGGGTACCGCTGTGTTTATCCGTGTATTAACGAGGCAAAGTATAAGCCCTTCTTCCAGCAGAGTGGATCTCTTTTTACTGAAACGGTAGGTTCCTACTTGAAGACCGTTTAATTTCCAGTACCTGAAATTTTATCAAAACATTAAAAGTTCCTAATTTAAAGAGTTAATTCGTCGGCAAAATCTAGAAAATATTACAGGGCATTTAATAATTCCTGGATTTATTTGGACTCGCGTCTTTTTCGAATGATTGGAACGTCTCAATTGTTGTGATGATAATTTTTCGAACCAGGGCACCTTTTTAAGCACTAAGTTCTTGACCCGCACAAATAAATTTCCTACAGCAGACCTTTCATATGGTTTTTGTTTGAGTTCATAGGTCATCTCAGGGACTGCATCTGAGTAGACCAGACTTTTCCAGAAACCCCATTGCTAAATGTATTTGGGGTCTGGCTAGTGTGGCGGCCACAAGAAACCGGTTTCCCTCGATATCAAACGGGAACCAAAAATTCCTTTCATCACTCCATTGCCTCGTAAGACCAGTGTGGGTGACCCATCTTGCCGGAAACAGCATTTGTTCAGCACATTCTACCTCTTATGCTTTTCTTGAACATCGCGATCTGAATTTTGCTGATCTTTATAGCCTCCCCTTCGCCCACCTTTGAATAAATACGGAACGGAACACTGTGTATGACCACTGGCCAGTGACTAACTTCCTGTTTGTCATTCAAAATTGATAAATCGGTTTTAAAAATACTTCAAAACTTGTCGTATGGTCTTTAAATCTAAATTCTTTTGGTCAAAGCCTCATCAGAGATGTATGTTTTATCTATTATCACACATAAAATAAAATATTTGGACAGGTAGCCTCGAAAGCCCGGCAGGAGTGCGCGAGACTGCAGCGGGAAGCAATCCTGGCAAAGCAGAACGAAGGAAGACCTCGTGGTAAAGCAATTGATACTGGGGAAAGTGGGGAGGCAGTTGGACGGAGACGCATCAGAAAAAAAGTCCGGCCGGTCCCTGAGAGACTTTACAAGCGGCCTTCTTTTAAAATGGTACGTGCACGTTATGAGAGTGATGTTCAATTTGTCGACTGTTTTAAGAAAAGAGCGTATTTCACCACACGAATAGTTGATCATATAAACTCATGAAACTCTTACAGTAGAAGCAGAGTGTTGGGAATGATTGTATCACTAACACTGCTGAACTTTAACAGGTTTAATTTGGTTTTAGGTACGGATAGATTGCAGTTGCACGGGTTAAATCAATAAACAGGTAAAATCTGTAGCCGTGCAATTAAACCGATCCTAAAACCGGACTTGCACTAAAGTTCAACAGTGTAACTAAAAGTTGTGAACAGTTAATTTACCACTGTGTGTTATTGTTTAGGAAAACCTCCCGCCCGGCTCGCCTCGGTTCCCTATTCACATGACTACAGCTACCTCCCCTAGAAAGAGCGACTTGCTCAACGACCAGATCAAGGGGCTGGCCGGGTCGGCCCCCCACCAGGATAACATCTTCAAGGAAGCATCCCGCTTGAGAAACCTAACATTTGAGAAGGCACGCGAGAATATCGTTATCAAAATGCCCACTATGCCCATAAACCCCCAAAATGACTACCTGAAAGTAAGGTGTTTCCTGGGTTCTGTCTCATCTTTCCCCACCATGATGCCTAGTGATTCGTCCTTCTACCCGGGAATGTTCAAAGTGTTGTCCAGGGTGAGATCCGTGGAGTCCCTCTGTGAAGCACTACCTTGTCACCTAGTTACTTTTTCACCAAGTGCCGTAATCACCCAGTGGCGTTATCACCCAGTGGCGTTCATTGTGTCGTCTCACTCTGTCTTCCTGTACGTATATTCCATATAAAATCTTGCATGCATATTACTTTAAATAGTTCATCTTCGTAATTTGTAATTGTCAGTGGTGTTAAGTTAAATTGTAAATTTAAAGTAATTATTTTACATATAATCTTAAAATATTTCGTATTCACATTTCATTTCTGAACATTAATATTGACATTCCATATAAGATTTAAATCATATTTGCTTATTATGGCGGCTCACGAAGACAAACATAATTTAAATTCATTTAGATATATGTGGGATTTGGAGAAGACATCCCAGATATTTTTGGATCTCTTCACGGCGAAATTGGCGAAGATTTTTTCCCATCTTCGCAATTTTTGCAATTCAGATGAGATGAGAAATTTCACGAGCAGTAAGGCGGAAAAGAGAAAAATTTCTTCGAGTAATAAAAATTGATGGCCAAAATACTCAAAATAGTGGAATTATCCTTGAACTTTTCTCAGCGTTTTTTACTACATAGTAGTAGTACATACAGCGATCAGCAATCAGAATGTTTGTGTAATGTTCGTAGCACAATTACTCTTTCTTGAGGTGGAATAGTGGAATAAAGCGGATTAATATTCTGTGTTGGGATTGTTTCTAACATCCACCTTAACCACTATTTCTTGAGGTTTTTTGTTATCAGTTAATTCTTTATCGTCTTTCTCTGGATCCCCCATCTTATTATCTCTGTTGTCTTCTTTCGTTAATAAAGGATACAATTTTCCTGGAGAATTATTCAATGATTTTTGTTCAGTGTTCGGCGTTAAATCGCCGTGAGGACTGGACTTGTTAAAGATTGTGAAATGAGTATGGGCAGCTTGTCCGCCGCTTCCTGACGGAGTTGTGTACTCCTCTCTTGACGTTCTCCGACTTTCATGCCCTCGTCGGGGCATCAGACCGTTGACGTGCTCCCGAAAATCCTTCATCCTGAGGTAGAAAAGCAGGGGGTTCAGCGCTGCGTTGAGTGCGATGCTCAGAATATGAGTGACTCCCACCAGGTAGGATTTGACGTAGTCGTCAGTGACGACTGCGTAAGGTGGCACTGAGAGTTGACTTGACCGGGTCTGTACATAGAGGTATATCACGCTGTATGGAATGTTGAGGACAAGGTAGGTTCCTGTGATCAGCACAATTGTTATTCCGGACTGGAACGAACTGTCCTTTGAGGGACCATTTCCTTTAACTCGCTTCACAGATTCTTTCATTCCTTTTGACTTTGTTACGCCGGTGGTTCTGGTGAATGTAATTCTGGCGAAGTTGCGGTGTGCGATTACCTTTTTCTTGTACTGCCTACTTTGCAAGATGATCTTGTAGAGGCTGGCCAGAGCCGAGATGAAAGTGAGAGGAACTGGGATAAGAAGCATGGTCGGGATGGACATGACAATCATGTAGTAGGTGACGTCACGGGAACCATTTCCCACAAACTGGGACTTGTTGAGACCTAGGGCACACCATTCTGCCTTGTAGTAGTGGGATATTCCGTAAAAGGCAGGAGTGGTGCAGAACAGCCACACCGCATACACAATCAGACTCACTTGAACTACCCTCGTCCTGATAGCAGTGAAGGGGAGAAGGATTCTGACGGTCCGGGTGATGCTCAGAACTGCCACCAAGTAGACCGAGTATCTAGAGCTGAAATTCCACAGAGATCCCCACGTTTCTCTGAAAATGACGTCAGAAAAAGGACCCGGACTGCGCCCCTGGACGTAACATAGTCCCACGAAGAGAGCTAAGATAGATGTGAGAAGGTCGGTTAGGGTGACAGCGCAGAAGATCGGGGAGAAAACACTGTTACGGATACTTTTCCAGAAGAAGTTAAGAGCGAGGGTGTTACCGACTATTCCCAGGAATAGGGAACCAGCAAGGACTACTATCCCGATCACGAGTGTGATGTACTTGTCTTCTTCCCATTCTGGAACCATCGCAACTAAGGGAACTTCGGTCATTTTAATGAGTAAAAATATATGCGAAAATGGGATCTTTTAGTTTTAACTTTAAAATTTTTTTGGATGTTATCCTTTTTAAGTCGTCCAAAAAATTACTTTAAAAACGTTGTCAAGCACGTTAAAGAGAATTATTTGTCTATTTTTCATCCCGTCGGTCAACTCTAAAGTGCATCTTATCATGGATAGATTTGTCGATCTTTAAAATCATTTTACTTTTAGATAAAATATCAACGTCACAACGTGGTAAATGATCTGAAGGCCACAGTGATGCACGCCGCCGCCGGACGCCGCCGCGCCGGCACATTTTCACACGCCGATACCTCTCAAGTCGGCGTGGCGTGAAAGGAAATATAAAGAGTATGGAGCCAGTCAGGGTTGATCTTGAACTCTAGGAGATCCAAATTGTCCAACATTGTCAAGAATTTGATTTTTCTTAAATATAATTGTAAAAATCACCAAATATAATTGTAAACACCACACTTATTACATCATTATTTCATGCACGCACGTACGCCACAATTTTTGTGGGCCTGGAAATTCAAACCTAAATTTTGACAAAATTATGTTCCACGCCGCCGAACGCCGCCACGCCGGGCCATTTTGGGCACGCCGCCGCCGGTTGGCGAAAAATGAACCGGCGTGCATCACTGGAAGGCCAAAATAGATTGTATAAACTTAAAGTTTACGCACGGTTGACGCACGGTTACGTAATTACGCAGTTAACTCGAGGTTGACTACAGTCACTGTTGCTTACCGCGAGTTTATCGTACAATTACTGTTCCGTACGTGACCGACCTGATATCAGGCTGGATAATTAATGATTTTAATCGAGTCCGGTTCTGATACGCTTTTTTAAGTTTAAACAGCCAAAAATGGTATTAAGTGGGCGGAATTCAAACCAATCAGCCTTGCATGTAGGAAAATTGTTATGTCGGAAGGATTTATTGCTAAAGTAGTCATTAAATATAGTGCTAAAGTAGTCATTAAATATAGTGCTAAAGTAATTAATGGGATGGGATTCTAGCCACAGCCGTATTTCATGCCATGTTTTAAGTAGCCGAAGAATCCAGGTCCAAGGAATCCAAGGTTGCAACTATGCATGCATATAGTGCTAAAGTAGTCATTTTGTTACTTGCTTGATCAGTGTTATCCCATAAAAACAGATAATGGAACCACGCCCTAATAACCCAAAACGCCTAATAACTGAAAAAATAAGTATTTAAGTGGCCATTTCGGTTATTTTAAGCCAACCTAATATTCTGTACGATTTTTAGAAGCTGATATAACCATTTAATATAATAATAGAACACAAATGGGCATGGCCAAAACGGCGATTTTTCCAGTTTTATAGACCTTTGAGAGGCCACAAAAACTTATCAGCTGTCGGCTATGAAATGCAGGCAAATTTCCATAACTGACCAGGTTACTAAAGTTATAGCTGTACGTCACGTGGTAGTCAAAAATGTTTCTTGGAAATGCGACACAGATTTGTCCGAAAATTCGATGTAATACGTTTCATAAAGAAGGCTTACGGGTGAGATGCAGTACACGTGATGATTAATACACTTAAGGGTATTTACTTTTAAATAAGATACTTAACGATCCGAAATGAATATGTCGGGTGTGGTGCCCGCACTGTGGGCCTATAATTTAACAAGGATGTAGTAATAATGCGATAAGTATTTGGAGTAAAAAAGTTTATGGAGTAGAAATACGTTCGTGGACATAGCCTGTAGACTGTAGATTCATAGCCGTTTTTAAACGTTAATTTTTGTTTTAATCTTCTGTGTTATTTGTTTGATAAGATCAAGAAAAAAGAATTATATTTTGATAACAAAAATTCGAAAAAAAAACTTGAGGTCATTTAGCAACTATAATTAATGCCGGCAAGAATAAGTGAATAACGTAAGGGCCAATAAAGTCTGATAGAGTGAGTTGGGTTTCGATCAAGTTGTGGCGTACACTTCGTTAGGGAAACAAACTGAACTTTTGCACAGTCCATTATATTAGGCTCAGAGATAAACAAGGCGACCAAGGTCTTTTATTAATTCAGTGAAGTTACAGAAAACAATGTTGAAGGATTAGCACTCCGCTGGAGGAGTATTAAGAGGCCAGGATATCACGAATCTGTAATTCCATGATCAAAAGGTCGTATATGATAGTGATACTCCTAATCTCTTAGTGCTCCTTCGTCAGATTGAGATTATCTTGCAGCATTCTTTTCTGCCGGCAATATCAAGGAAATGATTAAATACCGGCTCTTCTTTCACCTTCTTTATCTCATTACAGGTCGTCGAAATTGCTGCTCCACATTGGTGTCTTCAATCAAACTAAACATGATCAAATAACAATAAAAATTCTGCAAAGTTTCCTGCCAAACGTTTTTCTAAAAACTACTTTTATCTTCGTTTTATGCAATTTCGATCACTTGAGCCAGTAAGAATTATTTAAATTTTTGGTAATTATCCAATTAACTGATTATTTAACATGAACATTTTAACAACAAAAGTTTTCCACATTGATAAGATTCAACGATGTTCACAACTTAAGATATTTGACAAACAGTAAAGCTGGTAAAAAGTGGCCTTAAGAAACGTGGAAAAGTTGGTCAGCCACAAAGGACACCTAACTTGGGATACTTAGGAGTCAAAAATGACTAAACTCCTTTGAAAACTCGTTGTGTCGGTAAATAAATGGATCTGTCTAGTGTCTGTACTATTGAGAAGAATTGCAATGATAGTAAAGCCTCAAGTTGATACTATCTCATTAAAATCATTTCTAACTAACTACATTTTGATTCAGCTGACTGTAGTGATAATTAAGCTTAATTACATTGTGGTTCAACCTTTGGACAATTCTAAGAACTTCCTTCGATCGTTCGAGTAATACAGTTCGACACGCGATATAGTAAAACTGAGCTAAACGATTCAATGGCTTAATTTGGGTGTGGGACGGAGTTTGAAGAAAACAGTTTGGCAGGTTTTATTTCTAACTGATGTGTTCCTCTGCAAGATGGGTTTATCGTTGTAGCAGATCCTTACAAACAGCAACTAGTAAATTTTGTGACCATGTTTAGGTGAAGTCCACATTAACATTGTAACCGTGTAACGGCATAACTACAACAGTTAAGTGGTCCAAAGCCTTCGATTTTTGATTTATGTCGAGATTTAGATCAAAACATCATCACATGATAAAAAGTAGTTGATCTCTTGTCAACTTTCCTAATGAACACGGTCATAAACTCTTGTTTGAGTTGTTTAACTCCCTAGTTTGTGGTTCAGTGAGATTTCATCAATCGCAGCTTCAGGAATTTATGAAGACCACCGTCAACCAATCTTAGACGCCGTCTGATAGCAACCACTAAGTGAGCTGTGAGGAATCCTTTGTTGACAGCTCTTTATAGATACAGTTTTTTTGCAATTTGATTCGGTTAAAATGCACCAGGAAAGTAGTAAATCGTTGAGACTGAAATTCGTCTAGGAAAAGATTTTTTGTGATGAACTGTTAAATAGTGTTATCAATTGAAGCTGGCTTGAAACCTCTCACGCGGTACCTTGACACGTCCAATTAGCAGCGTCCAATAGCAGCGACTGTCCAATTTCAAATCAAACAGCGAAATAAAAGAGCTACTGTCTCGTGTCAAAAAGAGCTAGTTCCATCTCAAAATCAGGTGAGAAATTTAACATCAAACACCAAAATAAGCGATAGCAGCTCTGAGCCACTAACTAACTTCCGATTACAACGCCCAGATGACGAAAAGGACGATGTCACAATGTCACATATCACGCAATGGGAATGGTTCAGGAGAGTAAAATAATGAAAGTTATGTCACTTTGACACTCCGGTTTTGTCCAAGCACGATTGTTCACTTATTGCGGGTGGGAATTTGATGGTTACTGTTGAATTTGGGTCATAAATGAAGGGAAGTAATACTCATGATGCTGTTGGCTGTCACTTTCCTTGAAAGTGTGCGACTGCCTCTTCCCCATGCTTGCACATGGGCCAGGCTCTACTGCTTGATTAACAAATGGTATGAAGGTGTTATACCTTTTGGCCCATAAATTGATAAAATTTCATCATTTTAAACTACAAATTGTAGTTGTCTATTGTCTAAACTAAAATGAAAGGTAAGTTTAAACTACAAATTGTCTGTGATATAGCTCAATATATGTTGAAAAGTAGATACTACTTGACGAAAATACCCATCCCCCAAGGTTTCTTATTTAAATCATTAATCATGTGCACTGCACCAATCCTTACGAGTTAATCAATATTAATAAACATCGGTTAAAATTAAGGAGACGATATTAACATTAGTACATAAAATGCTTCAACAACTGCACAGTTTATCAATCAGACGTCTCAACTATCAGAGAAGCTTAAGAAATAAAAGAATGGACAATTTAACTATTATTCTAGCAGTATTATTAATGTTCTGTGGTAATGGTATTAAATAGTTCAACCAACACCTTTTATCAATAGTGTCTAGTTTGCTATCTTTGTGCATACAATATCATATCATTAATTCACCAATTAAGAATAAATCACAGGAGAGAGGTTCCACCGACCACCCTCTCCCTTTAAAAATCATAAATATTTGTGTGATCTACTCATTCCTGGATATCTTATTAGGGCTGAATTTTTCATTAGACTCCTAGATGGGTTTAAAAATACAAATTTTACAGGTGAACGAGACAACAAATTCGGAGCAATGGGACAGCTCCAAACCTATGCCCATTTCCGAAGAGGACGAATTAGAACGGCTGAGTGGAATGATAGAGAGAGACAATCTTGTGCGAGGACTGGGAATATCAGAGTTTGTAACTGAAATGTTGCAGACTGCACGTATCACCATGAAGGTAACTTGTTTTGTCAAATTGCAATCGTTTAAGTATTCAAACTTTCAGACTATATTGACATGGTATCGTAATCATATCTCAGAATCAGTTAATTTGATACAGTAATGAGGTCATGGTCATTAATATTATATAACGTCATTTGATGGAACTTGACTAAAATGAATATCTTACGTGTACTTATTAAATATTATCATGGAACTTAACTGTCCAAATTGATATTATTCGGAACTGGAAAATCATCGATAGTATATTATTAAGTACTTGATACTTTGTACCAAATAAATTGAAAGTAATACATTCGTGAGAAAGAAAAAAAGAATTGTATACGAGTGCATTAGCAGATCAACTATAACTGTATATATGTGTCGAATGTGTTTGCAAAATTTTACTTTTAAGAGACTCACTTCGGTTAATCGGTTCGTGCATTGTCTTGCTCAGCACTCAACAGCCAAGATATTATGGTATTATAAAGTTATGGCATTGCCAAAAGGAACTCTTAAAAAGATTTTATAGTTTAAATGACTAAATAGCTAAATTAAGCTATTTAGTCTTCTATTTAGGAGGTCCGAAACGCAGACAAGAAATTTTACATGAAACGTCCCTAACAAAATATTTCTTTAGGTATAATTTCAGTAGATTACCCCTCACTGGTATTACAGAAGGAGTTGAACTTTATAAAAGCATTACTTTTCGTCCACAGCTGTTTGCAAAAATTCGAGATCTTTCATTGGATAGCTAATAGTTTTTCACAAGCTGGTTCGCTTAAACCCATTAGGGACGACGAGTTTTAAAGTTTGCCGATTTTGATGCCGTTTAACACACTAGGTCACATTACAGCAAAAATGAGATATCCAAAAAAGCTAATCTGTATCTCGTTTACTTTAAAAGATACAGCTATGGTCGCATACGACCCACTCGTCCGGGTCGCAAACGACCCATCACGGTTTTTCGGCTATTACTTATGAAACAAAGACGTTAGGATAAAATAAAAACTGTAGCATAAGTTGAAAACGTATGGTCAATACTGTGTGACTCTAACTTTTCAAAAATAGAGAATTTGGGTCATTAACGACCCACTCGGCTCACTTGCTTATTACTACATTTGTCCATGTAACTTCTTGAATTCAGCCTAAAACATGACATCATAAGTGCAAACTCGCCTCTCAGCAAGTGATTATCATCATAAACTGCGAAAAATCGGTTAAATGGGTCATTAGCGACCCACTAGGACCACAAAATTGATTAATTAAATATAATGTTGTCAAACTATTACAAATATTAGTATAAAAACATGTTATATCTTGGTCATTACTCCTGTACGTTGATTTTACTTTTAAAATCGATCAACTGGGTCAATAACGACCCACTCGGAAGTTGAACCACGTCATTAATTATCAGTATCATGCTGTTCCACCATCAAGAAAGACACTCGTAGGTCTTAATTCCACGCAAACCACGGGTGGATGACCACTAGCCCTCCTGAGATCTGGAGTCTCAAGGTGATCTGCAGATCACGTCACCCAATCACTGACGAATAATGGGCAGAATTGGATTGATAGGTAGGTGAGTTTATCAGCTGTTAGTACACGACCGTAATGTTGTGAGACAACAAACAACGTGCCTATCTTTTCCCGATTCCTAAAAAGTCCAAGAAGAACTATACAACTGCTGGATTCAGATTTCAGATGGCTGCATCTACTCATTTCGCAGCTTCCTTTCTTTACTTCTTAGGGGCCGTTCACATTGACATAATATTACGTAATCACTTATTGGACAATTTTTAGCCCCGCCCCCCCCCCACACCCCACCACATAGCTATTATGTCAAAATTACACTAGCGTAATCATTTGGAAACCCCCCTCCCTCTCGGCCGATTACGTAATACTTGGTTTCGTTTTGAAAGCTGCCTCGTTGTTGCGGGGTTGTTACCCACAACGAAGTAGTTGTCTGAGAGATTGCAGGTTGCAGCACCGCCAGCCAGATGGGGGGGGGTGCTCTTTCCTTGTCCTTCTTCACAGAGCTGTAGATTTAGCCATCTGAATGCAGCAGTTGTTTAGTTATTCTTGTACTTTCTAGGAATGTCAAACAGATTGGCATGTTGGATTAGAATATGCAATTTGACCGCTCTTCTTTCAGTATTTACCCAAGGTTACAGGATATCTCGTATACTTCGTTCAGGGTATTTTTCTTGAGTGACATGATCTGATCACCGTGGGACCCTGGGTCTCAAGCGGTGAGTTGTAGCAGGTCGTTTACCAAGATTCGAAATTGACGAAAAAGGTAACAGAATCTAATAAGCAACAACAACAGCATGGCTATTACCTAGCAAGTTAGGAACGAGGGCCGATCTCCTTTTCTTTTGCGACACGGCCACGGTCCTTTCGGTACAGATTTCCACGCACCATAGTCAGGACGCAACTCCAGGCATATGCAGTCGAGTTATTCTCGCAGCTCTTTGATGAGTGATGACTGCCCTTCAGTTGGCCCTGGATCTCAGAAGGGCTAGTTGTCATCCACCGTGGTTTGTGTGAAATTAAGACCGTACGAGTGTCTTTCTTGATGGTGGAACAGCATGATACTGATAAATAATGACGTGGTTCAACTTCCGAGTGGGTCGTTATTGACCCAGTTGATCGATTTTAAAAGTAAAATCAACGTACAGGAGTAATGACCAAGATATAACATGTTTTTATACTAATATTTGTAATAGTTTGACAACATTATATTTAATTAATCAATTTTGTGGTCCTAGTGGGTCGCTAATGACCCATTTAACCGATTTTTCGCAGTTTATGATGATAATCACTTGCTGAGAGGCGAGTTTGCACTTATGATGTCATGTTTTAGGCTGAATTCAAGAAGTTACATGGACAAATGTAGTAATAAGCAAGTGAGCCGAGTGGGTCGTTAATGACCCAAATTCCCTATTTTTGAAAAGTTAGAGTCACACAGTATTGACCATACGTTTTCAACTTATGCTACAGTTTTTATTTTATCCTAACGTCTTTGTTTCATAAGTAATAGCCGAAAAACCGTGATGGGTCGTTTGCGACCCGGACGAGTGGGTCGTATGCGACCGCAGTTAGTAAACAGCGTCTAGCTCTGTTTGTGAACATTTAATTATCACGGGCTTTTCATTTCTGCCAAGGAAATCGTTGCCCGCAACTATTTTGTTCTCAAAAAAATAAGCCCACATAAAGTTTTAATGTCCCAATCAAGGCAAGAAGTTAAGTGAAATATTTTCCAATTATGACGACTAATTAGTCTAATTATTTAATTGTTAGTGATTAATTGGGTCTTGACTGGAAAGTCAATAATGTAGCCCAATAAATTTTGAGCATATGTGCGAAAGATTCGTGGCGTTTAGTATTTTGGTTTGTCCTCTATAGCCTCTAGAAAAGGTGGGTCGTAAACGACCCTATCGTCCCTAATGGGTTAATGCTTATCACAAGACAAACTTTTACAAATTCACGGAAATTGGCTATCGATCTTAGTTCATACGACAGCCATGGCAATCACCCATGACACAAAGCTTCTTTTTTTATTGAGGGGAAGTATAATTTTTGCAATCCACCTTATCTTGTGGTAAATTCTTAATCCTAAAATTTTGATAACAAAAACTACATGTGTGTACTGTGTTTGCAAACGCCCGCAATTATTAAGGATTTGAAATGTGCGATTTGATCGCTTTAAAATTGTCACTTTATAGCAAATTAAGATGTTGTTAAAAATAAAAGATGATACAATCTTTTAATAACAGGTGGAAGACACATTATTTTACTCAAGAGATCGCCAAATTATTTGGACCCAAGATTATAATATAATCATTCAAACCAAAAGTTGCAGTCTAAAAAGAAAATTGAAAAAAATTGTATTTTTTATCGGCTTTGGTATCGCAACAAGGTAAAACATTGCTGTGTTTTGGATTGAGATTACATTGAATCTTTCGTAAAAACCAAAGCCAGGTATTTGCTTTGATTTTTAAAAAGGCTCTTTAAAAGTCGTCGACGTTAATAATAATTTGTCTCATAACAAAATATAACAATTAAATATTTATACTCCATGGATATTGGATATATGTACCTTCTGATCCTCGATTCACTGCATCCACTTATGCAGAAGGTAATTGGTATCTTAGGTATGTTAGGTATCCTAGGTGTTTGATAATACAAGCTTTTGTATTAAACAAACTTTATAAACAATTGTACCAGTGGTTAAAATTCAGAAAATTTAGCTCAAAAATGAAAACTTCTGAGGATGCTTGAGTATTAGGCTTCTTAAACCCGAAACACTCAACAATCAAATTAGTGACAGACACCATAAAATTAATGCATAAATCTGTTGGGTCATCTTAAGATGTGATATAACGGGCAATTTCTGCGAGAAAGCAATCAGTGTAATTATTCTAGAAGTGAAAGAATCGAGATTAATCAAAAGTCATGAACTTGTAAGATTTGTGTCAAAAATTTGTCTGTCAATGTTCCATTCCAATATTCCCGCCATATTCTTCACTGTCCATAATATCCCCAGCCCTTAATAAAACCTGTCAAAATGTTCTCAAGTAAAGGTAACAGGTTGTAAAATAACGGAGGGATATCTTGGGAACATGTTTTTGCTGCCGGCATTTATGGCAAACATGTTTAAATCATGAGTCATAGTCTCGTTTTGCCTAAATTCCCTAAATTGTAGTCTGGACAAAAAATCTTAGCGTTATGATGCCATAGTTTGGAAATTATACCTTTCCCAAACTGAGAATATTTGTTCATGACAGTTTTCAAAGCAGCGACTGAGTGAGCAGCGAGTGAGTGTGCAAAAAATTCAACCACCCATTCTTCATATAATTAAATTTAAAGGTGGCAATTCACAAAAAATATGTTCTTATTTTGAAACATTTTATATATATTATAACAGAATCATCTGTAAATTAACTTTCAGCCTCAGAGTCAAGCAAGCTATGGCTACAATCCACGGGATCCAGGATTCAGGGCCAAAACAACGAATGATGCTGAAAATTCTAAAACTTCCGAGAAACCCAACTCTTTCTCCCAACTGGTAATATGCCATTAGATTTTTAAATATAATGTGCGATTTTTTGTAATTATAAAGAAAGAAACCTGTCAGTTGTCCTGCATCATGCGGCAAGTAAGTATGTATTTTTACAATCATCCTATCGAGTATGCCTTGTTAACAATTTCGTTTAAACTTAGTTGTTTTATTTAAGGGAGCAGAGAAAAGTATTCACAGAGAATATCCGGTTCAAAGACAGCGGCTGTGGCAACAAAAACCCTCTTATTTGACCCTGACAGCTCTTGAAGAAGCTTCTAGAATTGATGCCGACACTGACAAGTCCTCACGCCTCTTTAATCGGGGTAAGTTTCACACGCATCCAAAGTGGGTGAAGAGAGAAAAGCGTGGTTAATAGCACAAAAATAGAGATTAATTTAATTTTAAGATATTGTATATATGAATACCTTTTTAAACCCCCTTTCCAGGGCAGTTATGCCATTTATAATAAGATAATACAGAGTGGCATAGAATTCACTAACCACACGCAACCCTTGAATAACTCACGTTATTGTCAGGATTGAACAAATTTAGTGGAATACTCTCAATCTATTTTTAAGCATTTAATCCATAATGAATTAAAATGATCCAATATTTCGAGACGTGCTTCGATAGCAATTAAACTGCTTTGACTAATATAGAAAATTAAAATGTTTCTCAAATTTAAGAATGTACATGATCTCAAAAATTTTGGTATTCAAAGATTGCGTGTGGGCAGTTACTTTTGGGCTACCCTGTACATATAAAACAGAAATTTACAGCAACTTTATTATTTGAAAACCATTGCCACTGCAAGAGAAAAATAATGTTGGAAGGACTGCTTCCCTTATACAAAAAACTTGGAGGACTTGGATTAACAGAAAGAATAATCAAAACCCAACTTTGGTAACACCTTGGTCTACAGCTTGGGCTTTAGTGCAGCTTTAGTGGACGCTTATGATGGCCCTAGCAGCCCTCCCCCACCCTTACATGTACTAGCACGTACCCTTTCAACTCTCAAGTGGTGTCAAGAGACAACGATATTTATTTGTTTTGTGATTTTTATATCACTTGGGGGTTCAAATTTCGGGAACTAAATTTCTTATTCCTTGGCCACTTTGTATTTCTCCATACTGGTCAAAGCCCAAAGGGCTATAAAAGTATTTGACCCAGCCAAAATACACCTAAACCCGGCCCAGTGCTCCAACAGTATTATACATCTATCTTTAAATATTGGAGTAAACAATTTAAATTAATTCTAGGGCCGCAGTAAACTTAAAAACAGTAATACTACTGTCTTGAACACACTAAACCGCTGTTCACTGAGCAGAAAATTATGAACCTGGAGAATCTGCACATGTATTGAATACATTTTTGGAACTATTCAAAATCCTTAAATTTGATGTCCCTCAGTCCTGCAGTCCATCAAAGATCTAAAGTTCTGCCCTAAAATGAAAAACTTCGTCTGATCGTCCCATTACTGAGGTTAGATATCTCCCAACAGAACTTTCTGTACACCTCCACGAAAATTTGGAGTGATCTCATCCCCTATGTATTCGAAATATGTGATGCTAATGAAGATGGGATAATATTCTCGGGTTCTTCCAAAAAATCAGACTTATCAGCCCCAATCAGGTATTACCCCTATTACTCAATCCAACCTTAAAAAGCCCTTGCTATCCCTCCAAAATCGAGATGACCCTAATACATGGTAACTAAATTATAATATTTTGATTTTGAAAATCTTGGACCTCGTTTTTTGACGATTTTTTCAGGTCCAAGATTTTAAAAATTGAATAAAAAATTTTCTAAGGCCTATCTCAAAATTCTGGCCCGACAATCTCTTCTAAATGGTCCATAGAACATATCCTTCAGAAAGTTTCAGGTTGATTGCCCAAGAAATGTAGGAGAAGATAGATTTTTAGACTCGATTTTCAGGGTCTCTTCAGGCTCGCGCAATACAATTACATTTACACATAAGCGCTGACCTTTGACCGGCAATAATTTCGGCTAAAAACAATATTTTTCCAAAGGATTAAAAACAGCTGATAGATATCACTCACCTCTATCAGAAACAATTATAAAGCTTATAAAGCCCCCCCCCCCCCCCCCCCCCCCGGCCCCCTTAAATTCTACATCCGGTACGGCTATACACACATGATATCTCTCTCTGCCATGAATGATAAAACATGGTTAACCCTTTTAAACTAAAATTTAAAACTTGAACCTAAACTAATTTAACATGAAACTGGGCTCTCCTGTGTCACCAAACTAGACCAATGAGTAATTTTAGATTATTATATTTTTCTATATTTTTATAAAAAGTACAGTGTATATTTACGAAGTTGATGGTTGAGGGGGTTTCAAGCACAGGTCTCTCTCAAATCCAAAAATAAGCAGTGGCCTTCGGCACTTGAAACCTCCTCAAGCCGAGCTACTGATTTATATATCATTGATATTGTTTGATTGTGCCGTAAAAATAAATAATTGTTTTATTGAATAATTTTTTATTAATAAGCATTGTTATTAAATTAATTCTATTCCCTCAGGAATGACTCCGCCTAACTTTGCGAGTAACGGCGGGAGCGGAGCCCCGGGAGGAAGCGCAGGTAATCAGATCTGCTCGGTCTATAGCCTGCCCGGGCGACCAGCCAACAACAACGTCAACCTATCCGTCGTGTCCGGGCCTGCCCCCGTTTCACAGCGCTCTGATCTGGTGGTGAAAAGTGCAAATTCTCACTCTCAGCACTTTGACGTTTCGAGGTAACGTAGGTGTGGGGGTGTGAAGTGGAACTTCTAGCTTTGACCCCATGACATGCAACTTGAAGCCAGTTTATTTTTAGATTAAAGAGAAACATCCAGCTTGTAGGGTCTCTTAAAAGTGTAATGAACATAGCTGTTTTTTAATCTCGTCACTTTCTATTAAAGTGCTGAACAACTACATACATAACTAGTTTTTAATCTCGTCACTTTGTACTCAAGTGAATAAAGTTTATTGAACACAATCAATATGGAGTATTAAAAACAGTATCTAAAAGCGGTTATCATGAAGTTTTCGAGCACAACGACTTATTTAAGAGAATAAAGAGCATAAAAAGCATTAGAAATAGATTTAAAGGAAATTCATATATTCTAAATTAATTAGTCTGACCCTGATAAATTAGGTATTTCAGAACCACGAAGTCTACCAGAATCAGAGGCGCCACAAATATCCTTCGGCTAAAGGTAGCTAATATGGCAACATTTATTATCTTAATTAACTTATCTTAAGTCACGTTCTTTGATATTGATATCGTGTTGTGCGTCCACACATCTATATCTTTTTCAACCACTAATACCTGTCCAAAAATCAACATTCAACATGTATATCAGCATATTTTCAGCAATTGGCGATGAGAGAAAACAATGCTATTCTATCATAAGAGATAAGCCCAGACTCCAGCAAATAATTCTCAGCCACACTGTTCATGGCGGAACCTTTACTTCTTTCCTCCCCAGGGCTGGCGCTGGTGACCTCCCCTACATCTCTATCAGACTCACTTTGTGGAACTATAACAAGTCATGTGACTATCATCCGGCCACATTTTTATTTGAACCGTTCTGTCTAATAGTTAGAATATTGAGTCAAATAATGGCGTGTGGTATGCTAGAAACAAATTGTGCCAATATGGCTCGGATTTGAATGAGCTGATGGTCAAATCTAAAAAGAGCTGTGAGTGTGACAGATAATAAATTGGTAGTGCTATGTTTTAAATAGAATTACTTTTTGAATTAAAAATATCTATATTAGTATAATCGGTAGTTTTCGTTATTCATACTTCTTATAATTCTAGACGAGCGTTTCATTAACTAATAATGCATGTGCAAAGTTATAATTGAGTTGTCGATGATAGGCCGATACCATGATTCAGATTATGTATATATTAATTCGTCGATAAGTTTAAAAAACACCGTTTCCTCAATTTCGTGATTTTAAATTATGAAATATATCTATTTGTAAATTAGATCAGAATGTACAAAAAGTTTTTATTCAGCCCCAGAATTTTTTGTTTTTGTTTTTTACATCATGTTTGCCACATTATACCTCAGCGGCGTAACATTGCCTGTTGCCCCTCCCCCACTCCCTCTACTGAAAAAGTGTGTTTCTAGAGCAAAACTCTCAGTTTTGCTAGTACCGTAGTTAAGTTTTTCCAAATTGTCCCACATTCAAACGGCGAAGTGCTGACTGTAAGTAAAAACATATCACCCATTTGCATTGCCCATTCATGATATTATCATCGGTTGATCAATCGGGGGTCGGAAGAGCCGTTAATAAGGCCATTACATGGCGCGACAGTGGACAGAAATGACGCATAACTTGAACTGTAAACCGATCGCCCAACCCAAATTCCCGTCGCGTGCTATGCAGAAGACCTGTTCATTCAACAGGTCTTCTGCAATCTGCATATAGCACGCGACGGGAATTTAGGTTTCCCAATTCTCATGAATTCAATGCAGTGTTGAATGCATTAAAATTGGGATGATGATTAATCACTCTACGTACGCAACTATTAGTTTAAAAAAGATAACACTGTCCCGACGTGGCTCTGACCCTAACGAGAAATCTTCACTATTTCCTTATATGGGCATATAACGTCATCAAATGGTTTTCGCATATAACTTGTCATGACTGAAACAGTTGAACTTTTTACTTAAACTCTATTTTTCTTCTTGTAAAAATATACTACTAGTAGTAGTACTACTAGTACTTACAACTTAACACTAACTAGGTACTTAGATATGGATTATACAGATATAACCCTCGCCAATACGGCGGGAAACTGGAAACAGGAAAGGATATATTTATTTGCGAAACATATTGCGCATTTATTTAAGCGAAGGAACAACGCACATGGGTATTTGGGTAAGTGAATTGCTACAAGTACATCTGTCCAATATCTACGCATGAAATTTATGAACAATAAATATTAAACATATTATACATACTATTGTCCAGCATGCTAATAGTTACTGGACGGCTTTGTCACTCCGCCATATCTTCATTCATATTTTGTTTGCATTGTTTACGAACACTTAAGCCTGAATTCCCCAGACAATTAAATAGTATATTGTCAGTATTCTGTATTACTAATACAGAATACTGAGTCTAACCATGATCAAAGCTCTAGCTGTCTGCATGGTTATATTATAGTGTAATAATAGTGTATATAGGGAAGGTAATAGGGGAATTATACTAATACTATTACCACAACAACAAGTGGTCCCACGAATAAAGTCGGACGCGGATAAAAAGTGACTAAGTTGTAAATAGTCGATAATATAAATAGTAATATTACTATTGAGGGGGGGGGGGGGGGGGGGTCATGAGTATTTTTACGATTTTTGAATTTGATAATTTAACCATTTTTGCCGGGAATACTAAAAAATGTTTCAAAAATTATTTTTGAATCTGAGTTGACACACGCTGTAAGTGTAACCCCTTTGATCGCCGGCCGCGCGATGGGTTTAGTGATATTTTCCGTCTTAACAGAGGTGCTGAGGCACGGGTTTTTACTCATTTTAACAAAAAAGTACAAAACTCAGTCTAGATTAGATTTTTTCTTGATCCAAGATAGCCTAGTCAATCTACCTGTATGTGACACAGAAATAAGCCATGGCTATAAATCTGATCACAGCTACATCTCGCTATCCCTCAAGGGCTCTACTATTGCACACGGAAAAGGATATTGGAAAATTAACAACTCTCACCTCCTAGATCAAAATTTTATTAACAAAATAAAGAAAATCATTCATAATACAAAAGAAGATAGCATTGATTCTTACAGAGGTCTTTGGGACGTAATAAAAATCAAAATAAAACAGTTTGGAATGACCTTCGGTAAAAAGAAAAAAAAAGAAATCACATTGAAAAAAGAAAAGTTTAAAAAAGATATTGAAGACTGTAAAAACGATTCGAATCTAGTAAACTGTACGATACTACAGAAAAAATTATTTGAAGCAGAGTTGGATTTAAATCATATTATAGACCAGGAGGTGAGAGGTGCAATTACCAGATCACGTGTGAAATGGACAGAGGAGGGGGAGCGCTCGACTAAATACTTTTTTGGACTTGAAAAATCAAACGAATGTTAAGAATGGCCCTTAACATCAATCAATATCGAGACCATGTCAGCAACCACAGTCTGTACGGTGATCTTCCTAAGGTCAGCTCAAAGATAACCCAACGAAGGCTCAGACTTGCAGGTCATGCTCACCGACATCCGGAGCTGACACTGAACAAACTGATCCTCTGGAAGCCGAGTCATGGGCATACTAACAGGGGGCGACCTTACCTAACACTACTAGATAACCTAAAAGCAGATACTGGGCTGAAATCAGTAGATGAGATAGCTAGACTGATGGAGGACAGAAAGCTGTGGAGAACTGTTGTCAATGGATCTCGGGAATACTACCCGCCTTAAGTCAAGTCAAGTCAAATCAAACGGCAAGAAAAAATGTATTAGTAAATTGATAGACAACAACGGAAATGAACTAACGGACCAGGATAACATCTCTAGTCACGTGGTTAACTTTTATCAGAATCTATATAACTCAACTAACCCATCTCCCACTGAGATAGATAATTATGTAACCAGCAGCGAGCTTGAACAAATCCCACAGGAAATTACTGAAACTCTGGAGGGACCTATTTCGTTACACGAAATGGATGCTATTGTGAACAAGTTAACAAACAATAAATCCCCAGTGGAACTTAACTACATACAAAATTGGAGACCTATTACTCTGCTAAACATTGACTATAAAATCTTCACATGACATATAGCTAAGAATAGGATTATGAAGGCTATCCCTAGAATAATTAGCAAAACCCAGTCAGGCTTTCAAGCAGGCAGGAGTATAGCAGATAAAATTAATCTTATTCTCATGTTAATGGTTCTGGAATCATTTAACAACGACTCGGAACAAGAGGGTCTCCTTTTACAAATTGATTTTGAAAAGTGTTTTGACTCGGTAGAACATAACTTTGTCTTCAGTACGCTTGAAAAATTAGGTTTCAGTGATTATATTATTAAGTTGATTAAAGACGACACTGATCTGTTTCTGAAAGCTTCAATAGAGAGTGTAGAGGCAGTTATGGTAGAACTCAGAACGTTTGCTCAGTGCTCGGGGTGTAAAGCTAACATCGACAAAACTAGATGTATTCCTTTAGGGATTGGGGGGTGATTCGGAATCAGCGTCCACAAATACAGCAATTTAGATCAGTTTCACAACCAAAGGGCCTTTTCAGAAGAATTTTTTTAAATTTGGGCGAGCGATTTAGTAGGAGCTGAAATTTCCAGGGCCGAAATTTTACAGATTCGGCCGAATTTCTGACCTGCAACCAATCATACTGTCCCATACTTTGTCCAATTTTCAGTATTTGGAGCTGAAATTTCCAGGGCCGAATTTCTGACCTGCAACCAATTATTCAGTCAACTATAAATGCCAAATGACACAATTGAGGTGCTGGAAGTTTGATTCGGGTCGGAGGAAGCTATAAACAGCAGAAATCTTAACAAAACGAAAAGTTGTATTTTCAAAACTCTGTCCCATTTTCAGATATGAAAATTTCTGAACGCACATTTGACAGATTGGATGAAATTTTTGCCCACAAACCAATTAGTCAGTTAATTGATGATGGTATGAAACCAAATTGGGGTACTGGAAATCAAAATCTCGAAAAAAATTGGAAAATCATACTGTCCCATACTCTGTCCCATTTTCAGTTTTTGGAGCTGAAATTTCCAGGGCCGAAATTTTACAGTTTCGGCCGAATTTCTGACCTGCAACCAATTAGTCAGTCAACTATAGATGCCAAATGACACGATTGAGGTGCTGGAAGTTTGATTCGGGTCGGAGGAAGCTAACAGCAGAAATCTTAACAAAACGAAAAGTTGTATTTTCAAAACTCTGTCCCATTTTCAGATATGAAAATTTCTGAACGCACATTTGACAGATTGGATGAAATTTTTGCCCACAAACCAATTAGTCAGTTAATTGATGATGGTATGAAACCAAATTGGGGTACTGGAAATCAAAATCTCGAAAAAAATTGGAAAATCATACTGTCCCATACTCTGTCCCATTTTCAGTTTTTGGAGCTGAAATTTCCAGGGCCGAAATTTTACAGTTTCGGCCGAATTTCTGACCTGCAACCAATTAGTCAGTCAACTATAGATGCCAAATGACACGATTGAGGTGCTGGAAGTTTGATTCGGGTCGGAGGAAGCTAACAGCAGAAATCTTAACAAAACGAAAAGTTGTATTTTCAAAACTCTGTCCCATTTTCAGATATGAAAATTTCTGAACGCACATTTGACAGATTGGATGAAATTTTTGCCCACAAACCAATTAGTCAGTTAATTGATGATGGTATGAAACCAAATTGGGGTACTGGAAATCAAAATCTCGAAAAAAATTGGAAAATCATACTGTCCCATACTCTGTCCCATTTTCAGTTTTTGGAGCTGAAATTTCCAGGGCCGAAATTTTACAGTTTCGGCCGAATTTCTGACCTGCAACCAATTAGTCAGTCAACTATAGATGCCAAATGACACGATTGAGGTGCTGGAAGTTTGATTCGGGTCGGAGGAAGCTAACAGCAGAAATCTTAACAAAACGAAAAGTTGTATTTTCAAAACTCTGTCCCATTTTCAGATATGAAAATTTCTGAACGCACATTTGATAGATTGGATGAAATTTTTGCCCACAAACCAATTAGTCAGTTAATTGATGATGGTATGAAACCAAATTGGGGTACTGGAAATCAAAATCTCGAAAAAAATTGGAAAATCATACTGTCCCATACTCTGTCCCATTTTCAGTTTTTGGAGCTGAAATTTCCAGGGCCGAAATTTTACAGTTTCGGCCGAATTTCTGACCTGCAACCAATTAGTCAGTCAACTATAGATGCCAAATGACACGATTGAGGTGCTGGAAGTTTGATTCGGGTCGGAGGAAGCTCACAGCAGAAATCTTAACAAAACGAAAAGTTGTATTTTC